AAAGTTCTTGTGATTGTTTCTAGATTGGATTTGAGATCACCTTGTTTATATTTTTAGGATCTTAGCTTGTTACAAATAAACCATCTCTCTTATTTGCTTAGATTAGGAAAGTTTGTCTAGTCTTAGTGTTTAGATCACAAACTAAAGAAGATATAAGCTCAACAGTGAGCACTAATCTGAAGATCAGAGCCAATATGTGGAATGTGTATGCATTAGAGGTAATAGAATAGCCCTTCAATGGAATGACAATGCAGGGAACAAACTGGACGAAGATCATCGAAAAACCTGCAATTACAACCGCCTTATGAGACAAGTTACCATCTCAAGATTGTTGTGTATTCAGATTGACTAGTTGCCTCCAATAGAGAATGCTAACAAGTTACCATCAATCCCTCTCAATTACAAATATAGTCATGATGAACTGAAGGCAACAATCTTCTTTTTGAAAATCAGTGATCAGAACAGAAGATAAAGCAGGAAAAAACAAGAGAAGAAAGAGGAATGAATTTAAGAAATTTCCAATTCAAAAGTATATACTTAGAACATGTGTGTTCGATAGTTTTGTGTGTTTCTGTCTAGTTCTGTTCATTTTTTATCGACAATTAATAAGAACTATAAGAAGATTACATACGTTGCAATTTCCTGTTAACTCGTGCTAAGATTACCTAATTGGTAGGGCCAAACTAGCGTGCTCCAAGCTCAACGCCAACATTTGCTTATAACCGAGTTCAAACTTGTTCCCTTAGAATGATCAAAATGTCACAAAACTACACGATTCTAGTTCAACATTCTCACAACTTGTTTTGACAAGTACGAACCACGCAAGTTCAGTCACCAAATTGGTTATTTAGTATCACTAAGAAAGTGTTCCTATCCTTCACCTTATGGGTCTTGAGCATCTCGATAACAGTATTCACAGAACACGATTTAAGAGAGTCAAACAAGTCGTTTCAATACAGTTTCTCTTTCAGAGGATTCTTTCTCTTTTTCCGAGTCTGAGTAGGAATCCGGTTGCAATTAAGCCCAGTAACACTAACGAACTCCCTAAAAAAAATTCTGATTGGTTTCCGGCGAAAATCAACCATATCTCGTACTTCTTATTCGTTTTCAGCATCCTCATCAAAATGAAATGACCAAAAGCACCAGAAAAAGGCGGATTCTCGTCTAAAGCTAGAACTTTGGAGAACTGAGAATTTTTGAAGAACTCCATCTCTTCCTCGTCTAGGGATTCAATAAGCAACTCTGTTCTCCGAGTCCTGTGATACGAATTGACTCGTTCACCGATTGGTTCATCACCACAGGAAAATATACGGAGAGGAAGTATCAGATCTTCCATCGAACAATCGCAAAAGAAGAAAGGAATTAACGGTTGTTCAAGAAAGAGATTTACTTTCTTTTTGTACAATTGAAATGGGAAACTGAAAAATCAGTTTTGTGTTGGAACTAAAAGAAATGAAAAATAAAAATTCAAATTTAATTTAAAATTCGAAAGTGGACGGTTGAAACATAAATATTGTTTGGGGTTAAAGAGGAAATTGCATGCTACAATCACAGGCGTGGGGCTACGGGCGCAGGGCTAGGGAGTAGGGCCGAGAAACAAGGAAGTCAATTTGCTCATTATATTAAATTATGTCACATCGTGTGTATTCCCCTAATTAAGAGTCCTAATATGGTGTTTCAGCAAATAATCTCTATATATAATCAGTATGTGCCACGTGTCACACCCACTATGTGCATGGGACCGTCTCTAGTTATCAGTGCGAGTAATTCTTGTGTTCATCCTCTAGAGTGAACTTCTAAATTCACCAACCAATAGAATTACGTTATTTTATATTTAGTATCTTTAAAAAAAAGAAACAAAATATTGTCGAGTTATATTATGTTTAAAAAATTTAAAGATAAAAATAAATACAAAATGATATTAGCTGCAAAAAAAATATTTTGAATCTTTTTAAATACTATTATCAAAACACTAAACCCTAAACCTTAAAACTTTTATGTAAACCCTAAACCCTTAGATAAATCCTTGACTTTTTAAAAAATATTTTTAATACCGTCAACAAAACACTAAATTCTAAACCTTAAATCCTAAACCTTAAATTTTTGGGTAAACTGTAAACCCTGAATTAATAATAAATCCTGGAGTTTAAGATTAATCTAAGGGTTGAGGATTTATCCAAGGGTTTAGGGTTTATGATTTAGAGTTTAATGTTTTGCTGACGATATTAAAAATAATTTTTTAAAAAGTTTTTTGTTTGTAAATACTATTTACTAGGTTTTTGCCCGCGCTTGCGGGCTTAATAATTTTACTAATATCTATAAACAAATATATAATCAGTTTGAGTAAATTATAATAAATTATTGTGCATACACTCAAAACATTTAATAATAATCTAAACAGATTCTTTCTATATATAAAAATTTTCATCACCATACAAATAATTATCATTGCACAAATTAAATGTGAAATTCTCATAAATTTATAATATTTAGTAATAAATTAATATGTTTTCTAGACATAACAAAAAGAAGTATAATAAAATTAACTTTAGTAATGTTTTGGATAACACAACATAAATTATCTATACATATATTCTTTGCAAATTGATTTTTTCATAATTAAATATATATTAACAAATATAAATAATTTTCAAGGTTAATAAAGACTTTATAACATAATATAAAAAGTTAGATAAGGATAATTATCAAATTCATGAAATTTGTTTTTAATTTAGAATTAATTATATATTAACAAATATAATTATTTTTCAAGGTTGATAAACATAATATAATTTTTTTTAAATAAGGATAATTATCAAATAAATGAAATTCGTTTTTACTTTATAATTGATTATATATTAACAAATATAATTATTTTTCAAGGTTAATAAAGACTTTATAACCCAATATAAAATAGTTTTAGATAAAGATAAATCTAAACTCAATTGAAATTCGTTTTTTATTTATTTTTACTTATATATTTAAATTTGTAATTATTCATTAAGGGTATAAACGATATTAACCAGTCTAACTTTTAACATGAGAGCTCCGCTGCGAAAAATAAGTTCACAAATATTACTATATATTTTTATTTTTAATTTTTAAAATATAATATAATTCGAAAATATTTTATTTCTTTTTTTAAAAGATACTGAATGTGAAATAATGAAATTCTATTAGTTGGTGAATCTAGAGATTTATCATAGGAGGCGAACCCAAGAATTTTTCTATCAATGCGACCAATAGTTGTAGTTCGTGTAGCTAACACAATGAACAAGTCAATGTTTACGTGTCGAAAATTAAGGGAAATGGCATAATTCATTTATGATAGAGGGTTGGGAACGTGAACCAACCGAATTAAATGAGTTGACGCAAGACTTGCAAGTCAAGCCAACACCAAACAGTTTCTTCTTAAAGAGAGCGAGTGGAGCATACAACATAACCATCCATTACCTACAAGGCTACAACATATACTAAAAGACCAAGAAAAAGATGATCCAAAGCCATTGTTATTGCTTTTCTGGTATTATCATTACTATCTATTGCAGCCTCCTAATCCACGCTCTTGCTTCTCCTACTCTCCACTTTTGCCGCCACGACCAGAGGAAGGCTCTTTTGGAATTCAGAGACGAGTTTCCGACAAATGATCAGTTTGATTCATTTCCGTGGAATAAGAGCAGTGATTGCTGTCATTGGAAGGGTGTCACATGCGATGATAGATATGGTCAGGTGATATCACTCGACCTTTCTCATACGCCTCTCAACAGTGCTTTGAAAACTGATAGTAGCCTTTTTAGACTCCATTTTCTTCGTCACCTAAACCTTAGAACGAGCTTTCTCCAAGGAAACATTCCTTCTTCACTAGGAAACCTTTCTCATCTCACAATTCTTGACCTTTCTAGTAATAATTTGATAGGTGAGATTCCAACTTCAATAAGCTACCTCAACAATCTGAGAGAGCTTAAACTTTTAGACAATCATTTGGTAGGTGAAGTTCCGGTCTCCATGGGAAACCTAAATGGTCTAAGAGTCATGAATCTAGGAGTAAATAACTTAAATGGCAATTTTCCTATTTCATTTGCCAACTTAACTAAGCTTAAATATTTTGACATCGAGTTTAATAAATTCACATCCAGGCTTCCATCAAACATGAGTAGATTTCACAACTTGGAATTCTTCGCTGTTTCTGAAAACTCATTTAGAGGTCCTTTCCCTAAATCGTTGTTCTCAATTCCTTCATTACAATTTTTAGATTTGGGGAAAAATCAATTCACTGGACCTATAGAGCTTAGGAATACATCTTTGTCATCCATTGGGCTTATTTATCTAGACCTTTCTTATAACAGCTTTGATGGCCCAATCCCCGAATCCATATCTGAATTTATCAACCTCACCTACCTATACCTTGACCACAATGATTTCACTGGGCCAATCCCTAGATCTTTATCAAAAATAGTCTATCTCGAGAACTTGTATTTGTCCAACAATAAGTTGACAGGTGAAGTACCACGTTTCGTATGGAAAAATATGGGGAGTACTTTGTCTCACAATCTTTTCAGCAGTTTGGAAAACACCTCAGAAGAAACAGATATCTTGTTTTTGGATCTGAGTTCAAATTTAATTCGAGGACCTTTTCCTCATTGGATCTGCAAGATTAAAGAGTTAGACCTGTTAGATTTGTCTAACAATTTCTTCACTGGCTTGATTCCTTCGTGTCTAAGTAGTAACATAGTTTTTCTTAAAGAACTAAGTCTGAGCAACAATAGTTTCAGTGGAGTTCTTCCAGATATATTTGTCAATGCTACGGGTTTACTATCCTTCGATGTTAGCCGTAACCAGCTGGAGGGAAAATTTCCAAAGTCCTTGATCAACTGCAAAGCTCTTGAACTTGTGAATGTAGAAAGCAACAACTTCAAGGACAAGTTTCCATCATGGCTGGGATCTCTGCCCTCTTTACATGTTCTCAGCCTCAGATCGAACAAGTTCTATGGGCCGTTGTATCATCATCGCCACAAGCCCATTGGATTTCAGAGTTTAAGAGTCATCGATGTCTCACATAATGACTTCACTGGAACTCTCCCACCTTACTATTTTTTCAGCTGGCGTGAAATGACCACATTAACCCAAGAAAACGACTATTACATGAGTGAATATTACCTGAATGATTTTTTAATCTATCGCTCGATTGAATTGGTGCTTAAAGGAGTAGATATGAGGTTTGAGCGAATCCGAGAAGACTTCAGAGCCATCGACTTTTCAGGAAACAGATTTTATGGCAAAATCCCTGTATCCATTGGCTTCTTGAAGGAACTGCGGCTACTCAACATGTCACACAACACATTCACCGAAGATATCCCACGAAGCTTGGCAAATTTGTCAAACCTCGAGACGTTGGATCTCTCTAGTAATAACCTGTCAGGTGAAATCCCTCAAGATCTTGGTAAGCTCTCTTTTCTGTCATACGTGAACTTCTCCAATAACCGCCTCCAAGGTCCAGTGCCCGGAGGCACACAGTTTCAAAGTCAGAATTGTTCTTCCTTCATGAACAACCCTGGACTCTTCAACCTTCAAAAAGTCTGTGGAGACAAACATATCCCGGAGCCTCCTACGTCACCACAACACGAGGAAGAGGAGAAATGGTTTAACTGGGTTGCAGCTGCGATAGCCTATGTACCTGGTGTATTCTGCGGATTTGTAATTGGATATATTTTCACTTCAGACAAGCGAGGATGGTTTGGTCGAAGAAAACTCAGAGTGACAAGAACTGCCCGCTAGTCCCGTCTCTTGCAGTCTTTCAAATAAGCATTTCTAAAGCTATCTTATCTACGTTCTGTTCGTATTTGTGTGTTTTCCAAAAGATTCGGTTGTGTGTTGTTTGTAATTTCTAGTTAATGTTTTGTAATAAATTGTATTCCGTGGCATTCAGTATAATATGTATCTTGGCTTGAAAAATATAATACTTCCAAACTAGTGTTGTTTTGCACACAAATTAAAAAATAGTTTAATGTTAAATTTACCACTGTTAGCCATACCGTTTTAGAATTGTAAAAGAAAATAACAGATTCCTTCCGTATATAATACATGACTTATTTGTATACACTGTTTTTTTGTATACAGAAAACAGTGTAACAGCCGTATATGACCAATGAAACAGGAAAACAAACAGAACAAAACTTACACAATTACCTGAAGTAGTAGTAAAGTTAATACGTGGAAGAACTCGCTGGCTGTGTTGGACGTTTGTTTATTAATGTTTAGACTTACATTAGAATAATCCCACCTGATCGCTAATTCTCGGCTAAACGCTTAATTGCTATTTTGTAACATTGGTTAAATCGGTAATGAAGACCAGATTAATAATTACATAATGCAAAAAATAATTAAACTCCATAAAAAGACAAAAGTGATTTATCAATTAAAAAAAATAAATCATTTTCTAAAACTAATCTTCACATCTTCGTCCTCACACTCACACACAGATTCTTCAATTTACTTTAATGGAAACTCCGTACCCAAACCTCATCACTCCCTCAACGCCTCGTATCGGATGGATCGGCATCGGAATCATGGGATCCGCCATGGTCTCACACATCCTCGCCGCAGGCTACTCCGTCACCATCTACGCACGCGACGTCACCAAGTCAACGGACCTTCAAACCAAAGGCGCCCGCACCGCCACCACCCCGAGAGAGCTAGCGGAGAAGAGCGACGTCGTTTTCACGATGGTCGGAAACGCCAACGACGTCAGATCACTCCTCCTCGGTCCCGACGGCATCCTCTCGGGTCTCAGACCCGGAGGAGTAACCGTCGACATGACCAGCAGCCAGCCTGCGCTTGCGCGTGAACTTCACGCGCAAGCTAGGCGGAGAGACTGCTGGGCGGTTGACGCTCCCGTGTCTGGAGGTGACGCGGGAGCTAGGGAAGGGACGTTAGCGATTTTCGCGGGAGGAGATTTAAAGATCGTTGAGTTGTTGAAACCAGTGATGAAGTGTATGGGAACGGTTAAGTATATGGGAGGAGCGGGGAGTGGGCAGGGGTGTAAGATTGGGAACCAGATATGCGTTGGGAGCAACTTGGTGGGACTTGCGGAAGGGATGGTGTTTGCGGAGAAGGCGGGTTTGGATGCGAAGAAGTGGCTTGAGGCGGTGAAGGACGGTGCGGCGGGGTCGGCGGTTATGAGGCTTTTTGGGGAGATGATGGCGGAGAGGGAGTATAAGGCGACGGGGTTTGCGGAGTATATTGTGAAAGATTTGGGGATGGTGGCGGAGGAGGGTGGTGACGTGGCGGCGATGCCTGGGGCGGGTTTGAGTAAGCAGTTGTTTTCTGGGATGGTGGCGAATGGAGATGGGAAGTTGGGGATTCAAGGGGTTGTTTCTGTTATTAGGAGACTTAACGGCATGTCGTGATAAGACAGTGTGTTTGTGTTAAATGGTTTCATGAAACTTGTCTTCGGTTTGGTGTGTGGTAATAACATGGAACCTTACATTATACGAGAGTCACTAACATATGACATAACCTAGCTTCTTCCACTTTGGCTAATAGATAGAATCTTGGGACCAAGTGAATCTAGAATAAGAACATCTTCATGTGTTAAAAAAGAAAGCAAACTAAAGAAGATTACAAATATAGTCATGATGGATTGAAGGCAACGATCTTCTTTTTGAAAACCAGTGATCAGAACAGAAGATAAAGCAGGAAAAAACAAGAGAAGAAAGAGGAATGGATTTAAGAAATTTCCAATTCAAAAGTATGTACTTAGAACATGTGTGTTCGATAGTTTTGTGTTTTCTGTCTAGTTCTGTTCATTTTTTATCGATAATTAATAAGAACTATAAGAAGATTACATATGTTGCAATTTTCCTGTTAACTCGTGCTATGATTACCTAATTGGTCGGGCCAAACTTGAGTACAAGCGTGCTCCAAGCTCAACGCCAACATTTGCTTATAACCGAGTTCAAACTTGTTCCCTTAGAATGATCAAAATGTCACAAAACTACACGAGTCTAGTTCAACATTCTCACAACTTGTTTTGACAAGTACAAACCACGCAAGTTCAGTCACCAAATTGGTTATTTAGTATCACTAAGAAAGATTTTAAGCAAATGAAAACATATTCTACAAGTAAATATGATTTATGAGATTTCAAACACCAAACCAAACATGATCAAATATGGTCGTCATAATCTTCATCTCACTTAATTTCATTTGCATTAATTTTGTCAAGAGAGCGTAGAAATGATGTTTTTCTTCAACACTGTGATGTAGTCTTCACCTCCAGATGGCTTCTCATCAATCTACATTTTCCATAAACATGTCAATTGTTAGTTCTCTAGAGATTAATGTCAGATTCACTATCTCCACACTTTATATGTAATTTCTAAGAACTCATTAGTGAACTATGTTAATTAATTAGTGTTTTTTGGTAAACATATATCATCGATCAGCCGTTGATAATACATTAAAATATATGTAATCAAGATCCAAATAGTTTCACTCAAACCCAAAGAATCTGCATGTATCTTAAAAATCCATATTTATTATTAACTAGAAGCCTATCCTCCTAAGATGAACCCTAAGAAGCAAATATTGTTGGATAAGAAAGTAACATCTTTATTCATATTCATGTCTAAAACTTTTAGAGACCTAAAACTGATTAACTAAACATATATGTGCCTGAGAAATGAAGTATAGATAAGAGCAAACACTTACTTTAACATGGAAGTTGTAGCAAACCACCTTTTGATCTCGGCACACTAGAGATGTGGAAGCATTTAAAATACTAAAACCTTGCATCTCCATTACGTGAACCAAGTTCGAGAACTCATCTTCTTTTACCCTTTTCATGCTTATCTGCACAACAACCTCATCACCTGGTCCCTCCAATTCAAGAACCGAGATTGCTCGAATATGAGCATCTTGTCGCTCTAATAGTCCCCGGGACCTCTTGCTCTCTATCGCTTCTACAAGCTTCTTCTTTCTTAGAGTTAGCTCTTGAACTTCATTATATAGCTTGGGAATGTAAGTGACCACTCTATCCATTATAGACGGTGCACACCATTTCTTCTATACAAACAAGAAAACTAGTTCATGTCCTAATCACAAAGTCGATATCTGGGTGTGAGATTCTATATTCAAAAATAAAAGGCAGATAATAAAAAAACCTTGGAGGAAGAAGAATGATCAGGAAGAAGAGTGCCGAGAGTGAGGTAAGAAGCATGAAGTCTCAGCCTCCTTAGACGCTCATTAGCGTTACGTTCTTGTTTCTTTGCTACACCACTTGACTCATTAGCATCTTGATCATGCAATACTACTACTTCCTTACCTTTACTTTCTAATTGAGCTTGACACGTATCGTCCTTCTCTCCGGACACAACGATTGTTTCTGCAGGGATATGCAAGAAGAGATCGTCTAGTAAACCAGATGCTAAAGTCTGATGATTGGACATGCGGTACCAGCGGCAAGAAAAACAAATACGGTAACAAAAAAAGAGGCTTCGATCTCAAATTCTATTACACGAGATGGTCTTAGTTAACCTCTAAAGTCTAAACCCTAATTAAGCTAACAAGATGATCATTAATGACGATGATAAATGTATGTAGGTGTGTATATATATACATATAATGGAGATATATAAATAAATAAAGATATACAGAGGAACGAGCCCAAGTCAACCCCACAAGTAGTATCAATGAGAATAAATAACAATGCAATGAAGCCCCCACAAACTATTATATTTCAGAATTAACAATTCGAGAGGCAGTCCCTGTGAACATACAAAAATGTAAACTCGAAAATAATGTAACGAATACAATCGCAGGGAATCCACTGCTCACAGGAAGTTGGGAGGATAGGAGAAGAAAATAGTATAATATCATCGGCTAAGCAGTACAATATAACAAATATTGTCAAGAGAGAACAAGAAGAAGAAAAAAGAATCTTACGACAGAATCACACATTCTTCTTAACTGATTCATCTTCTTCGAGAGTGCAGAGGTTGTCATATAGTCAAAAGTCTCGTTTCTTTCTAATGTAGTTTGCTTTTCTGGTCTGGTTTATGTGTATGTACGTACGTAGGTCTTTGATGCAGTACAAATGGCGTTAACTGTAGTACACAGTACTTGCATTATTGTTATTATAATGTATTCATTGAGATTCATGTAATCCAGGCTCTCCACTCTGAAGTTGATTAAAAAGTATTCATTGGGATCCTTCATTTGTATGAAGTTGATTAAAACATTTTTTCGTGAATATATGTTTATGCTCTTGTTCTTAATTTTTTTTTAAAGTTAAGAAGGTAGTATTTTAATGATTTATACCACTTTTTCTTGAATGATACTCATAAGTTAAGAGATTATTTTCATTTGCTGTACAACTTTTTCAAAGTAGTAAACTAGTATTTTATTTTATAACGTAAACAAAATATAATAAAAAGTAAATACAAACACAAATATTATAAAGTTATAAACCAAGGTGTTGCATCATAATATCCAAAAAAATGGATTTCTACTTTTATCCCATTTGTTATATCACAATACTAAAAAGTAAAAGACTATTCTATTCTTGTTTTCTAAATATATAAATAAAAATACTGTTATGATTTACTTAAATAATTATTATATTTGTTTAAATAATTATTTTAAAGTATTTTAGAGATCTGTATTTTTTTATTTCTTATTTCAAATAAGAACAAGATTAAATTCGATTACATGGATTTTAAAGTATTTTAGAGATCTGTATTTTTTTATTTGTTATTTCAAATAATTATTTTAAAGTATTTTAGAGATTTGTTATTTTTTATGTAGTACAACTCATATTTATTTTCTCAAAAAATACTTTTGTATTAAAAAACAAAAGACCATTCTATAACATAAATAAAAAGTGAACTATTATGATTTATTTATATATTTATTGTGATTTATTTAAATTGTTATTTTAAAGTATTTTAGAGATTTTCGTATTTTTTATTTGGTATTGCAAATACTTTAGTTATTTTAAATACTTTTTATAAGAACAAAATTAATTTTGGAATATACAAACTTTTGGATTAAAGGATATTTGGATAGCTGCTTTTCTGACAACTTGGGAAAGATTAGGAAAGACACAAAGACTGCATCAAAAAGAAGATAGATGGTGGAGCTGCTCTGTACATGTATTTTGTCGAAGTGAGCCTAAACCCATTGTTGTATTTTTGAGACGTTTTGTTTTCTTTTTCTGCTACTTGTTATCCCATTTTAGTCTTGGCTCTTTCTAGGCGTCAGTGTATAATAATAAAAAAAAAAAAACGTAAGTAAGACGTTGAGGGATATTTTTGAGGATTGAATTGAGTCTGGTTTATGTTAAAACTTTTTAAGATGAGTGGTCCAATTCATTGGCGAGTGGGACACTAACTTAGAGAATCAACCGAACTCCACGCGTTGACGCAAAAGACTTGCTATAAGTCACAGCCCGAGAAAGGGGTTTCTACGTTTTCTTCTACTTCTTAAAGAGAGCGAGTGAAGCATACAACATAACCATCCATTACTTACAACATATATACTCAAAAACCAAAGAAAAAGATGATTCAAAACCATTGTTATTGCTTTTCTGGTATTATTATTACTATCTATTGCTGCCTCCTAATCCACGCTCTTGCTTCTCCTTCACTCCATTTTTGCCGCCATGACCAGAAGAAGGCTCTTTTGGAATTCAGAGACGAGTTTCCGACTGGTGAGTTTCACGGAGGTCCGTGGAATAAGAGCAGTACTGATTGCTGTCATTGGGAGGGTGTCACATGCGATGATAGATATGGCCAGGTGATATCACTCGACCTTTCTGAGATGTCTCTCAATAGCTCTCTAAAAACTAATAGTAGCCTTTTTAGACTCCAATATCTTCGTCACCTAAACCTTTTTCAGTGCGATCTCCAAGGAAACCTTCCTTCTTCACTAGGAAACCTTTCTCATCTCACAATTCTTGACCTTTCTGTTAATAATTTGATAGGCGAGATTCCAGCTTCAATAGGTTATCTAAACCATCTGAGAGAGCTTAGACTTTCAACCAATCTTTTGGTAGGTGAAGTTCCGGTTTCTATGGGAAACCTAAATGGTCTAAGAGTCATTGATCTTGGCGGCAATAGATTAAGTGGCAATTTTCCTATTTTATTCACCAATTTAACTAAGCTTACCGATTTAGACATCAGATTTAATAAATTCACATCCACACTTCCATCAGACATGAGTGGATTTCACAACTTGGAGTTTTTCGATGTTTATGATAACTCGTTTGAAGGGCCTTTACCTAAATCATTGTTCTCAATTCCTTCATTACAAGTTTTAGATTTGGGAGCAAACCAATTCACGGGACCTATACAGCTAGGGAATACATCTTTGTCAGCCTTTGAGCTTAAGACTCTAGACCTTTCTTATAACAGCTTTGATGGCCCAATCCCTAGATTTTTATCAAAGTTAGTCAATCTCGACGTTATACATCTTTCCAACAATAAGTTGACAGGTGAAATACCATGTTTCATATGGAAAAATATGTGGAATACTTTTTCTGACAATCGTTTCAGCAGTTTGGAAAACACCTCACAAGTAATATATCTGTCATTGTTGGATCTGAGTTCGAATATATTTCGAGGACCATTTCCTCATTGGATCTGCAAGACAGGGTTGCAATTCTTAGATTTGTCTAACAATTTCTTCTACGGTTTGATTCCATCATGTTTAAGGAATAACATGGTTACTCTTCAAGAACTAAGTCTGAGCAACAACAGTTTCAGTGGAGCTCTTCCCGATATATTTGTCAATGCTACGGGTTTACGATCATTCGATGTTAGTCGTAACCAGCTGGAGGGAAAGTTTCCAAAGTCGTTGATCAACTGCAAAGCTCTTCAACTTTTGAACGTTGAAAGCAACAACTTCAAGGACAAGTTTCCATCATGGTTGGGATCTCTGCCCTCATTACGTGTTCTCAGCCTCCGATCAAACAATTTATATGGGCCGTTGTATCATTGCCACAAGTCCATTGGGTTTCAGAGTTTAAGAGTAGTTGATGTCTCACATAATGACTTCACTGGAACTCTTCCACCTCACTATTTTTCCAGTTGGTTTGAAATGACCAAATTAACCCAAAGAAACAGCTACATGTTTGATTTTTATGACGCGGGTGACTTTACATACTATCGCTCGATTGAATTGGTGGTCAAAGGAGTAGACATGAGGTTTGAGCGAATCCGAGAAGACTTTAGAGCCATCGATTTTTCTGGAAACAGATTTTATGGAAAAATCCCTGTATCCATTGGCTTCTTGAAGGAACTACGTCTACTCAACTTGTCACACAACTCATTCACAGACGATATACCACTAAGCTTGGCAAATCTGAAAAATCTCGAGACGTTGGATCTATCGAGTAATAAGCTGTCAGGTGAAATCCCTCAAGATCTTGGTAATCTCTCTTTTATGTCATACATGAACTTCTCCCATAACCGTCTCCAAGGTCCAGTGCCCCGAGGCACACAGTTTCAGAGTCAGAATTGCTCTTCCTTCATGGATAACCCTGGACTCTTCAACCTCCAAGAAATCTGTGGAGAAAGACATGCCCCACAGGAACCTACATCACAACAACACGAGCACTTGTCAGAGGAAGAGGAAAAGATGGTCAACTGGGTTGCAGCTGCAATAGCCTATGTACCTGGTGTATTCTGCGGATTTGTGATCGGATATATTTTCACTTCATACAAGCAAGAATGGTTCACATAAAAAGTTTGGTCGAAGAAAACTCAGAGTCGTCACAATTTCCCGCTAAGCCCGTCTCTTGCAGTCTTTTGTAATAAGGCATTTCTAATGCATATCTTGTCCAACGTATGTATGTGTATTGAAAAGATTCGGTTGTGTTTGTTTTGTAATTTCTATTTAATGTTTTGTAATAAACTGTATTTGGTGGCATTCAATATATGTATTATCTTGGTTTGAAAATATAATGAATTTCCTCCTATTCGAGTCTTAAACTTGCCGTGGCCTAATGAAAAGTCTTCGTTCCCGTATATACATTACTTTACTTTTCACTTGTGCTTCACTTCAACCTGTTTTCACGTCTTCGTTTCACTCCCCACCAGGCCACCACCATTGCTTGTCCCACACGTCAATCATACTATCCTTGCCCGGCAATATGATGTAGAATACTGCGCTATGCGGCGCTGGCTTTGTCATTTGCAATTCGAGCTGATTTTTAGATCTTTTGATTTATCAACCCGTTTTTCCTTTGGCAGATGGACACAGTCTAGGGATTTTTGTAAAAACGAATAGACTTATGGTAAACAAAGTTAATAGAAAACTGTTTCATCAGGCTTGAAACCTTTGATTCTTTCTAAAAAGTTTCTGTTTGTGTTATTTCAAAATATAAAAAGTTTTGAGATTTTAAAGTTTAATTTTAATTTTATCAAAACCAATTATATTTTATGGTCTATTTTATAATTAGCTGAGTCATTTTATAATTTCAGTGGTGCTTTTTATAATTTTTTTTGTTTCATTTAAGCATAATATCCTATATTATGAAATGTAGAAATAAAAAATCATGTCATATATTTTGATAATAATAGCTCGAACCGCCCCACAATGATTATAGTTGGCTACTATAAATATTTTTTTTTCTGTATTCGACACAGTTGAGAATGAAATAAATGACAAAAAAAAAAGCGGTTTTATACGTTTTGGCATTAGTGTGAATTTGTTTTTATTGAAGATCGAAAATAAAGTATTTTACAATATTCATAACAATTTGCTCCGTATAGTGCCATAGTGGTATACACATTATGCGAACGAGTGACTCACGCTTCTACCACCCCACCTAGCACTTACATCCTTTCCAAACTCACTTTTTCTGTTTATCGATTAACTATATGATTTAAAAAACTTACAACGTTAATCTTGTGAGCAAATATATAATTTATCAAAGAGCATATCATGCATAATCCACTTTAATATTCATAGAAGTAGTTGAGTTGCCGTCCAAAAGTTAAAGTCCAAATAGCTGAGACAATAAGTTTTAAGTAAAAAAAAATCAGATAAAAAATAGATGCCGTGGGAGTTGTTGACCTCGTCCAATATGTACCTAGTGAGCATATTTTATTCATTTTTGTATAACAATGGTTATATTTTGTTAGTTCTTAATTCATTATATATTGGTAATTTAACTTTTGATTGGCTGTATAATCAATGACCAAAACGTAACAAACTAATAACTGTGGTCTAATCTTTGAAAAGTTCACCTTATAAGTTCAGCTGGCGACAATAACTCGAGTTATACTGTAATCAAATTAAGCATTCTATAATGCCTATAGACACTAAAATAACTAACCATTTTTTCATATACTAGTAGGGAATTCTGATTATAGTTTCCGTAGTATTCACTTTTTAAATACAAAATCAACCATATACAACGTCAAGAGAATAATGATTGTTGTTACGCCATTATTATTATTCCATTTTTTACATAAAAGTTTCAGCACTTTCCTCTTTATTAAAAAAGATCTATAAATACGATTTTGATGTCGACCTCAGTTGCTGAACTCGCCGGGAAGATGAAGAAAAGCTACGGTCGTCAGAAATTTCAGGTACGATTCGTTGTGTATCCTTAGGGATTAATAACGGTTCTGAACAACGAAGTTTTTTTTTTTGGATAATTTGATAACACAGAGATTATGGGCAAAGCTGGTGATGAGGAAGTGGTTGAACAAAAGTGCTAGTGAGCCTGACTATGGTGCTGATACTGAAGAAGAACTCGAAAACGTCGACGTTAGACTTGAAAACGAATACTCCAGCTCTGATGAAGGTTCTTGTTTCTTGGTTTTTTTCTCTCAAGAGTCACCGGTTCTTCTTTTCCGGTTATCTAAACCATTTAAACCGGTTTAACAGATGTTGAAGTTAAAGTATCGACTCAATCAAGGGTTTATGAGAACTCAGAGGATGTCATGGCCGCTGCAGCTGCCGCGGAGTTTATTAGCAATGGTAATGCACAATTTTTAGATGAAATATTTTATGAATAAATATTTTTAATATTTTTTTTTTGGTGAAGTCAGATGCTCCAATGAAGTTAAGGAGAAGAAACTCGGAAACATTTAGAGCACAGTATATCAACAACAAAGAAATAAGGTACAGTTTTTTTTTATGTTTCTTCTAATTTAATTATTTTTACTGTATATTTTTTTCTATTATAGTATGTTATCCTCTATTCTTTCTTTTTCAATCTTGTTGGCTGAAAATGAGAGGTAACATGTAGGAATTGAATAACGAAAACTTGTTATGCAGAGTATGTGTTGGTACGTGGAACGTAGGAGGAACATCACCACCTTCTGATCTTGACATCGATGATTGGATCGAAATTAATCATCCTGCTGATATCTACGTTCTTGGGTAAACAAAACAAAACATTTAGCTTCTTTTTTTTTTTAAGACGAATATATTTGACTTCTTTATTATATTTGACTTTTTTTCCTCAATGACATAGAAAACCTACCATATTCAAATATGTTTTGTTTCTTTTTTTTTTTGTTAATATTTTTTGTTTTATTCATGATATATATGATTTATTTGTATAAAGATTACAAGAGGTTGTACCTTTGAATGCTGGAAACATACTTGGAGCTGAAGATAACCGACCGGTTGCGAAATGGGAAGAAGTGATTAGAGAAGCACTAAACCGAGTCAGACCAAAACACTCTACGGTTAAAAGTTATAGTGATCCACCATCTCCAGGGAGATTCAAACCATTTGAGGAAACACACGATGTCATAGAGGAAGAAGTAGCTTATGAGAATGATAGTGACGATGGCGTTGAGGTTCACCCTATTGACGAGGAGGAAGAAGAAGATAGCGAGTTAAAGCATGACGGTGGAGTTGTAGGCGAAGTCAACACCCTCGTTGACCCAAAGTCCGGTTTACCGGTTATTGAGATCAACAAACAGTTCACTTCTTCTAATAATCTAGACAGACAAGTCTGTTTACGTTCTCATAGCTTTGTGCAAAGAAGGAACAACGAGGATTCCTCTCAAACCGGTATGAAAACGCTAAACCGGATGCTAAGTGGGCAAGAAAGGATCGGTTTAAGCTGGCCTGAGCCTCCTTTGAACATGTTAGGACCTTCTTGCGTTCTCGATAGACAACCGTCTATTAAGACATATAAATCCTTACAGACATTAAAGTCTTTGAAGGCTTACAATTCGTTTAAGTCTGTAGCTGGACATAACACTGGGATTCCCCCAGAGGTTTTGGCTCTAGCGTCTATGGACCTGAAGTTGCTAATGGAGAGGAAACGAAAACCTGCTTATGTGAGGTTAGTGAGTAAAAAAATGGTTGGGATTCTTTTGACCATTTGGGTTAAAAGAAGTTTGCGAAAACACATTCAAAACGTTAGAGTGTCTACTGTTGGAGTTGGCATCATGGGATATATTGGTAACAAGGTATAAAAAAGATAATATTTATATATTATGTTGCATTTTTACAAAATCTTATAAAGTGATTTTGGTGTGGTATGTAGGGAGCTGTGTCTGTGAGTATGTCCATAAATCAGACGTTCTTCTGTTTCATATGTACTCATTTGAGTGCAGGAGAAAGAGAAGTTGATCAGGTCAAGAGGAATGCAGATGTTCATGAGATACATAAAAGAACAGTGTTTCACTCTGTCTCAGCACTTGGACTTCCCAAGCTTATCTATGATCACGAGTCTGTTTCTTTACTCTCTTCTGCTTACTTCTTACTCAAGAAAACTAGTTTTTGATTTCTAGAACTTGACTATGTTTTTCACCTCTTTGCAGAAGAATAATCTGGTTAGGCGATCTTAACTATCGGCTTAATTTATCTTATGAGGAAACCACAGACCTCATTTCCAAGAAAGATTGGTCCAAGTTACTTGAATATGATCAGGTAAATAGTGACCATTTTAACTGTGTCAGAGGTCCCCAGTTCGAGTGACCGTTGCGACAAAACTACGGAAATTCTACGAATCAACTTAACACATTTTTTTCTCCATATGAAATATATGTTGCAGCTGGTAAAGGAATACAAGAAAGCTCGAGCGTTTGACGGATGGTCAGAAGGAACTCTACAGTTTGCACCGACCTATAAGTACCAAGCGCATTCCGAAGAGTACACCAGTGGCAACGGAAAGGCAACAAGGAGAAAACCAGCTTGGTGTGACAGAATACTATCTTACGGTAAAGGGATGAGGTTGGTTGATTACCGGCGGACAGAACATAAATTCTCAGATCATCGTCCGGTTACAGCAACGTACATAGCTGAAGTCGAGGTGTTTTGCACGAGAAAGCTTCAGCGAATGTTGACATTTACGGATGCAGAGATAGAAGACGAGGCACTTGTTGCCGTAGTCATTTAATAGTACAAACTCTTTATGCACTTGTATAATTTATAGTAAATGTTTAATGTGGCAACAACTAAACGAGACTCTGGTTTTTGCTTTATTAGAGTAAAAAGAGTTAATGATCATACTGTTGTTGATCTCCTAGAGGATTGTCTTTGCTTCCATAGATTAGATCTCACTCTTCTTTGCAACAAAAAGAAGAGGAAAACGACAACCACCACAAGCGCCAAAGTGATTCCGTTATTAGTCTCCGTGAAAAAGCGCGTTAGAACTAACGGCTGGCCGTAGCTACAGTCACAGCTGCTTCTCAGAAGCTTGCCTCTGTAACTTGCTTCTGGGATGAGAATGAAATCAGCAGTGACAGCGTTTTCACCTAACCAAACAGTTGTTGTCTTCGGTTTGTATCCAGGAGACGATGCTGTGACTGCAAATCAGCAGATATCACACACAAAATGATGCATAAGCATTCAACAATAACAAGAGTTACAAGTTACTAAGTTCTACTATACTTTGGTCTCCTTGTATTAACAGCAACATAAGGAAAGAACATCACACCTTCATACATCTGTCCAGGTTCAAGTAAACGGTGGTAGTCTGCGTATGCTTGATGAGCTTTAACCTGGAGAGCATAAGGATTACAATGAGTACTGTAAGAGAACAAGAATTTTTTATAAAACAAATGTCAATATGCGTTGTGTACCGTATAGTTGATTCCCTTGACCACAACAAGCCCAGGTAGTGGCTTCCCTTGGTCTAATGAAAAGATCCGTCCATGAACTCCTGTCTAATGTAAGAAGAGGAGAGCCTACTTAGTAAAAGACAGAAAAAAAATACAAAATGATGTACGCAAAGATCACAATGAATGCAATCTTCCATTAATGTAACTGACACTCTTTGCGAAACGGAGAGAGTATTAATGATATAACAAGATTAAATTGTTGGATTCTGAATACAATGATACCTTCACTAAGCTTGCAACAAGATTCAGCATGCTCTTTCTGTTGTACTCCCAAATCGTGGGAAGCTGAATAAGAGATACGAACTGAATCAGCTATAACTGCTAAGTACAATGTAAGGAGAGAAACAGTTAACACATGTCAATATATAAGACTTAGACCTCTGAGGCAGGAGGCCATTTGTTGTCACTTATTTCCAAAGTCAATTCAAAGCATCCTCCATGTATGTAATTCCAGTCCTGCATACCACCATATATTGGGTACCTGCAGAGCGTTTTGCTTAAAACACTAACTCTTACACTAATTTGTTGGAGAAGACAGAGGAAGTGGATCGAATGTGATACCAGGATGCTCCATTCGTGATTCCACCCTCAAACTCTTGGCTCAAAGACATGTTTCGGTGAGAATTGCTATATAGACGTGCCATGAACCGGAATGTTTGATCATCAGGACAACCGTAATAGTATTTCCTGAATGAAGATTGCATAACAGTTACATGATTATTGCAATGCATAATTATATTCAAAATCATATAGAGCAGAAGCAAACTACCTCTTATCCTCCGTACCATCCCATGGAAAATTTGCGACCAGGGCACCCTGTAACATATAAAAACCCTCAGAGATTCTTCAAAGTAAACTTCCAAATTGGACAAACTTGAGAGGGGATAGTATCCACAAGCCTGCTAAAGAAAAATGTCTGGAAACTTACCCCATGCAACGTAGCCGAAGCTGTGAATCGTATATCTCTCAGCCAAGTCATAATAGCCGTAGTTTCAGGTTGCCTCCTACTCAAGTCTTCGTTTATGGGAAAGAACTGAGGCAATAGGTATGTGTTAAGCATCCAAACGTGACTAAATCACTACTAATAACCAAAACTAAACTAAACTTATGAAAGTGAAAAGCACCAATTGACAAGTCACCTGGTCAGGGAAGTCGCGATTTAGATCAACGTTGTTTGCATTATTACGTTTCCTGACTGAAAATCCATCTGGATTCAGTGATGGCAGTATATGAAGGTGAACATTTTCCACAATCAACTTAGCCTGCATAACAAAAATAGACAATATCAGTATATGCCCATAACATTTTTCTGTGTAAAGCTGAGTGTTGAGATTTGATGGCTAGGAAAATGGTTGAATAAAGAAGCAAAAAAATCACTTACCAATGGATCCTTTTCATAGTTATCACAAATCCAGTTTGCAAGACGTAATAAGAGCTCACGCCCTACAGGTTCGTCTCCATGTACATTCCCAATGTACTGCATGACCAATTTATATTCAACTAATTAGGCTTTCACCAGCAGGAAATCATAAAACTGATATTCACAATAGAGATATTTAACCTTGAATGCAGGTTCAGCCTCAATCTCTCCAGGCCTGTCTGATATCTCTATGACCCACTAAAAAAAAGCAAAGCAAGAAACAAACAAAACAAGTTAACAAGACATACACTTTGTAAAAACGAGAAGATTTCAGTACTGATAGGTAAGAAGAAGATTGGATTGTTACCAAAGGAAACCCATTGACACTCTTTCCGATGCTGAAAGCAAAACCCTCAAAGAGAGAAATAAAGAACAAAATCAACAACACCATATCAAAATCAAGAATACACTTGACTCTTCCAAGTAATGAATTTACCTGTACAATCTCGAGATCTTGCTACACCTCTTGGTGAAACCTTTCATTGCTTTCTCAAGATCATCATTAGTCATATACCCTCGAGTCAATTCCACACTTTTAAACAATAAAAAATAAAACATAACTATCAGTAACACAGACACTAAGAACATCCTAGTAACACCTCAAAACACCCCAACTACATTACCTCGGTCGAGGCTCTTCTTTCACAAATAAATGCCTCGCAGTACCATGAAAACTACCATTTCCATCACCTAAAACATTGACACAAGATTACTCCCTCTGTTTTACTCTGTTTCATTATAAGTGTCACTTTAGCTTTTTAGCTTTATGCACTCGGATTAAAGAAACAATTAATTTTCTATATAAAAACACAATTACCTAGACAGTTAATTATATTTCAATCAATAGAAAAATGAATTACATAATAAATTTAATAAATTTTGCAGAAATTGTTTTCCACACTTGATATGAAACGGAGGGATATTAACCAAAGTCACTGAATATTCAGACACAAGAATAATGCAGTCATGCATAAACCTTAATTAGTGTCTGAACAGTTACATATATGTCTTAAACCAATTCCTATTAAATATGACTCAATCAATAACGTAATTAAATCTGAGAGACAATAAAGTATAGAATTTTGCGGCGGACCTGACTGGATATAGTCTGAGTGGCCGCCTCTAGCGGCGATCTCCGGAAGGAAAAAGCAGATCGCCGTCAAAAAGAGGAGACTGTGAACGAATCTGAGCTTCCTCATAGCTATAGAAAGAGCAGATCACTCTCAGTTCCTTGGCGATTGATTCGTTAAAGCAGTGCCGGGTTCTTGGGGCTCCACCATTGATGAGTGGGTATTAAGGAGAGGGAAGAACCGAAGAAGGAACATTAAACAGTTGACACTTAAGCTTGAAGCAAAGGTAATTACTAATTGGGCTTTGAGTATTTGGGTTGCTATATCTTAATGGGCCCAGTGTTGCATTTTGATTTACTAATTTTTTTTTCTCATGATTTAACTGTAAACTAATTACTGATTAGTACATTTACTATTACGCAAGTCATGAATTATATGACTGAGAAATGCGCAGACCAAAATTTTATTCACTGATTAGTACATTTAACACAAGTCATGTAATAATATGTGAACATAATTACTATCTGAAAAAGAGGTGATTGACGATCATGATGATCATACGTTGAGAAATTGGATTCCAATAGTCTTACTTTCATGCTCTACTCTATTGTTTTTATCTTGAAAAATCAGTTATTAAACTACTCAAACTAGGTGATTTAGAAAATCAAAACAAAATAACTAATGTATTAATTATCTTTGTGAAAGGTTATTGTTATCTTAGCTAAAGAATCAGATAAGACATTTTCAATGCAAGAAACAAAAACAAAACTGTTGTAGAAAAATTGGTGACGATTCTTAACAAATATATGAAAGTTTTATTTTGCGATACGAATCAAAATATTTAAGTATCTTTAAATTAGTATAATTATTATTTTCTTTCAACTCCGCCACTAGCTAAACTAATATGATTTTTTAAAACTAATCTAATAATCTCCTCCCCAAATCATTTTTTTCCCCCTCATCAGCTCCGATTATGTCTCCTCTATCTGACTCACATGTGAGAAGCATCAGTATTCCAACTTGCTCAGTGTTTAGGTTCTCTTAATATACCAATTCATATAAAGAGTTTTGTTTTGGTAGGTTAGGTCATCACTAGCCGAGGGTGATCACATGATTACCTATAAGCCGTGGGGTATCATCCTAAAGATTCAGGTGGAATACGACACGTGTTATTCACATTTTATTAGAACACCTCTTTATATTCATAAATCTAATACAATCAATAGTGTACTATGGATATTTTGATTATAGGACCGTAACCTGAAATAAAAAATCATCCATCGGCTCTTTTTTCTTCTTATTAAATAAATTTACTGTCTTTCGTCTAGTTCTTTTCCGTTCCATTCTTTTACTTATCAAAGTCCATCAAATATGTAGAGGTAACTAAAACATATTTTCTAAATACAACTTATAATGTATCAAAATAATTTTAATGAAAATGAAGTTTAGCATCAACGGAAAGCATATTTGAAGTACAGTACTAATATAGTTTTGTAATAGCAGAATTACTTTGGAAGTTTTTGTTCCCATTGATATCCAAATTCATTCGTATAATAAATGTTATGATTTTGTAGGAAAAGAATAATAATGTTTTTGGTTTGAATTTTAGTTTTTCCCAAATAAGGCATATGTCCCAAAATATTAGAGTTGGAATCATAGAACATTGTTAAACAAAACAAAACGGAATAAATAATCAAAACATATATGATATAACTAAATCAACTTGGAGTTTGTTAAATATCAACTTGGTGTACGGATTATTCTATAAGCTGTGAAACCATATTGTGGATGGCTGGATGCTCCACTGCACCCCATTTCGCATCATTACGAATAATTATAGCTTTAATGGAAATGGATTGTTTACTTGCTTTACAGCTTCATTTTTAATCTTTAAAATAATAATATCGTAATCTGATCAAGTTAAAAAAATTTAGAGAAAATTTGTTTTTGACATAGAAATTTTGTTTTCTCTCTTATAGCTTTTTATTGTGTGACATTAATGTCAAAGAACCCGAAATAATCTCTATATCATATCAACAGAACTACACCAGATGGACTGATATACTGCCGAAAAAATCATAGTTATGATGACTACTCGTTTGTGATATATGATGTACCGCCTCTAATTCTGCGACTCATCATTTATTTACCATCCTTTTACGATTTAATAATGAAGTTAATATACTACTAACACTTAGGGAAGATATACACAAAGAATAAAGAGTAAATATAGTATATACATTTATAGTTTGTATTAATGTTGTCGTTCTAGCGACATCCAAATAAAACCCGTTATAAACCGTGTTGTTTAAAAAGAATGAGTTTAGAACATATTCATAAAAAGTTACATATATTTTCCATTTTTTATCAGAACGTCTAATTTTTTTAGGTAAAATGTTAGAGTTTTACAAGAAAAAAAAATATAGGGGTCTGATGGATTAGATCTTTAACTAATTTGTATAATTAACGTCTAATTATTACATCGTTTTCTAGACCGGTTGAGCAAACTGAAGCAGTATGGGACTGTGGGAGTCGGATTTGTGATTGGTTGTGCTTAGGGATAATGTTCAGGTTAACAATCCTATATGTCGGCCCTAGCATCTACCAAACTTGTTGCTGACCTCAATAATTCTTTTTATCGTTCCTAAAGCATATTGAGATTGTTCTATTGGTTAAACTATTTTATGGAAAAATATTATTTTATGATAACAGTATCTACTATTTTATTGATCAAAATGCAAAATGTTACCGTTTGAATTCAAAATAACCCAATTGACATTGTTCTTAAACGAAAAGTCAAGACGACGTAGCTAGCTATTGTTCACATGCTTCGTTTTCGAAGTTCTATTGTTAAAAAGAAGTTCTATTCTTCAAGATATTGTAAAGAAAAATTAAATTTAAAGAGAATTTTATCCCTAAAATTTATTCTTGGATAAAGATTAAATATCATTACATGAAACCCCAACGGCTGAGCAAGATCGCTTATGGTCAAAATTCTCTTATCAAAGAATAATACTTTGAGTGCTCTTTAGTCTTTATGGGCATACTTTTGACCCCTGCATAATTACTGGAGACATAAGTTTGTGAAAGGCATTGAACAAATATGTGTTCTTCAGTCTTTATGGACATACTTCTTAACCGCTTGTTAAAATGATTACAAACCCCAATACTTAAAGGCTTGCTAAAATGACTATCATGTACTCAAGTTCTGCTTGATCCAACAAATGGAAAGTATTTTAGTGAATATAAAAGAATTGGCGTTTATGCATCTCAGATTACTCATTTTCTTTCAAAACAAGAATCACATTTTAAATTAAAAAAAATTAATACCCACTAAAAACATAAGTAATCTAGTGTAGTATAAAGTAAGTTAATGTTTTTTGAGTCCCAGGTTAAACCACCTTGGTGTCAGAGGTTTAAACCACTTTCCCTAGTATGAGTGGTGAAAAGATTATTTTTTAAATCGAAATTTTTAAAAACTAAATCTACGCATAAGTGAAATAATGGATATAAGATCTAAAACTCTCACTGTTATATATTAAAAAAACATAACCCATCATATATCTGAAAGACTGAAACTGAAAGTATTTCAAACCTATATATGTTTGATATTCATTTTAGTTTGTAATTTCATTCTGAAACCCATACAATCCTAATCACGAAAAACAAGATTCAACATCCCTTTGAACAATCACCATATCATTTTTAGTTTCAACAAATTCTTTATGGAAGAACTCCCAAACTGCAACAGCAGCATTTTTTTGTAGTTTACCAATAAAGTAATATTAAAATCATATCTTCAAAATACATTTACTATAAGAAATAAGTGCATAATTAATTAAGAATTAATAAAAGCATAAAGGCCAACCTTAATTATCCTAAGGCATCTAGTCCTTTCTTTTAAAGATTCAATCTCGATAGGAACATAAGTTTAGTGCTTCTTGTAGATTTAGATATTTATTATAGCTGGGTTGTATTTTCCTTTGTTTCCTTTATGGTTTTATAATCTGGTTATGTCCCACACACATGACACACATCGATTTTTGTTTTAGGAATTCGTTATGTTCAGAAATTATCTATATACCAAGAACGCATAATTCACGGATAAATAGTCAAGCACATAAAAAACAATTATTTTTTGTCGTTCACATGGATGTAGAGTTATTGGTTTGGTTTATAAAACCTATATGAATCTATTTAAGTTGATGATAAAAAAAAAATATTGTTATGCATATATGCATTAAGCTTCGGATTAAATTATGATATCATTGACTCATGTGCTTAACGATTTGTTCGAGCGTCTAACAAACACTCATACCGATTTGATTATATCAAAGTCACTGATTTATGCTTCTCTGAATCGAAGATATACAGTTTCTACTATAGGTTTTGTATGTGGTGGCTGCAGGACCTATATTTTTTTTTGATCTCCATCCAAATAATTTAATTAGGTTTTATATTCTAAGATCCATATATTCGAAAAATAATTGGTCCGAATGTCTAATATTACTTTAGTTTATCACAAATTATATTATGCATATATTAAAGTTATATCAAGAAAACCACTGTCGCAGATCGCATTGTACATAAGCTCTTAGTTAAATAAAAAAGCATGCACTAGGATACATAAATATACAAATAAATACATGAAATTTTGGGAGTGGAGAATCAAAAGAAGCTTTATGCCCCCTACAAGACAAGAGAGATGGACCATGTGTCAATCATAGATACGATCTTGGGAGCCAATGAGCGCAAAGATGCGAGGCAAAAGAAGCAACAGATCGAACACACACTTTATGTGTGTTTGCATTAGATGCATTTTGATTTAACAAAGATTCTTGATCTTTCTCCCTTCTTGTTTACTTAACCTGACCCATCGATCCATCACTTCTTCACAAATACACGTGCCCTTTATCCCTCTTTCTTAATAGATTGTTCTTTTTGGGAAAATCTTAGCTAAGAGTTTTTATTTTGGGAGTACTGAAATAAGCTTGAATACATTTATTTTGGGAGTATGGATGAGGGACTCGACCTAGTTAGAATTTTGCTTGCACACCATTTTAATTATGTTGTAATGGCAAATTCGAATCATTTGTAGGGGAGCCCCCTATCTAATAATATTTGAATACTAACCATGGCTAAAAGATAATTATTTGAGTAAATCGCCACTAAGTTATAATGTAGTTATCTTACAAAAAGTTATTATTTAGTTATTGATTCTGTAAATATAAATTATACTA